ATTATATTTAAAATGTAATTTTGCCTCCTTAAGATGAATCTCAATATTCCTCAATTAAGTCACTTTGGATAAAAGCATCTGCTAAATGAATAAATCTAAATGTGATTCACTCAACCAATTTGTTTATAAACACTGATTCATTAAGTGAATTGTACTAAGTGACTGCCATTATGAGTGAGTCATTGAATCATTCGCTCAACTGATTCCTTTAAAATACTGCTTCATTCAGGAATGAATAAAGGGACTTCCATTATGAGTGAGACATTGAATAATTCGCTCAACTGATTAGTTTAAAACACTGATACCATTAGGAATGAATAAAGTAGGCTTGTTTGACTTGAAGCGGCGCTGCACAGACCAATCGGTGTATGACATCAAAGCACAGCGATAACGATTCAAAAGCATACGGAGCCGTCAGCTCTCTAATCGTTCTCGCGGTACTGTGATGTCATACACCGATCGGTCTGTGCAGCGCCGCTTCAAGTCAAACAAGCCTAGTGACCAGTAGTATGTTCCTCCACAACCGGAGGCTGCAGTTTCAGGACCCCAGTTTTAGGATCGCAGTTCCAGGACCCTAGTTTTTTGTGACAGCGCTACCTACCGAACTGGATGATATAGCGGCGGCTGCGGTTTCAGGACCACAGTTCTAGGATCCAGGTGATTTAGTTTGTACATAGTATCAAGATCCACCTATTATTTTAAGTCTTGTTAGAAAAAAAATATATATACACTCACCTAAAGGATTATTAGGAACACCATACTAATACTGTGTTTGACCCCCTTTCGCCTTCAGAACTGCCTTAATTCTACGTGGCATTGATTCAACAAGGTGCTGAAAGCATTCTTTAGAAATGTTGGCCCATATTGATAGGATAGCATCTTGCAGTTGATGGAGATTTGTGGGATGCACATCCAGGGCACGAAGCTCCCGCTCCACCACATCCCAAAGACGCTCTATTGGGTTGAGATCTGGTGACTCTGGGGGCCATTTTAGTACAGTGAACTCATTGTCATGTTCAAGAAACCAATTTGAAATGATTCGAGCTTTGTGACATGGTGCATTATCCTGCTGGAAGTAGCCATCAGAGGATGGGTACATGGTGGCCATAAAGGGATGGACATGGTCAGAAACAATGCTCAGGTAGGCCGTGGCATTTAAAAGATGCCCAATTGGCACTAAGGGGCCTAAAGTGTGCAAGGAAAACATCCCCCACACCATTACACCACCACCACCAGCCTGCACAGTGGTAACAAGGCATGATGGATCCATGTTCTCATTCTGTTTACGCCAAATTCTGACTCTACCATCTGAATGTCTCAACAGAAATCGAGACTCATCAGACCAGGCAACATTTTTCCAGTCTTCAACTGTCCAATTTTGGTGAGCTCTTGCAAATTGTAGCCTCTTTTTCCTATTTGTAATGGAGATGAGTGGTACCCGGTGGGGTCTTCTGCTGTTGTAGCCCATCCGCCTCAAGGTTGTGCGTGTTGTGGCTTCACAAATGCTTTGCTGCATACCTCGGTTGTAACGAGTGGTTATTTCAGTCAAAGTTGCTCTTCTATCAGCTTGAATCAGTCGGCCCATTCTCCTCTGACCTCTAGCATCAACAAGGCATTTTCGCCCACAGGACTGCCGCATACTGGATGTTTTTCCCTTTTCACACCATTCTTTGTAAAACCTAGAAATGGTTGTGCGTGAAAATCCCAGTAACTGAGCAGATTGTGAAATACTCAGACCGGCCCGTCTGGCACCAACAACCATGCCACGCTCAAAATAGCTTAAATCACCTTTCTTTCCCATTCTGACATTCAGTTTGGAGTTCAGGAGATTGTCTTGACCAGGACCACACCCCTAAATGCATTGAAGCAACTGCCATGTGATTGGTTGATTAGATAATTGCATTAATGAGAAATTGAACAGGTGTCCCTAATAATCCTTTAGGTGAGTGTATATATTTTAACAAAAAAGATTATGGAATAGAAAAGCTCCTGCAGGTGGTGGATTAGAGCAAGTAGCATCAAGCTACATGACACAATTTAAAAGATTAATATTACAATTTGACTTAAAGCTCACTTTAAACCACCATCGAGTATTTGTATCATATTCCTGTCGAGGTTTAAACTGGTTTTAAGTAAAAAAAAAGATGTTGAAATATGTTATACTTAGCATTTTATATGCAGCTAATGGCTACACCTTGCTTAGCAATACTGTAAACATTCTTTATTCCTATAAATATCCTAAATCACACGAAAATCGCACACAAACCACATATACTCGAAATCGTGCATATATTAGCTTCTTGTTTCAGGTGAAGAGATGTGTCTTAGCTTTGTTATCACGGAGGTCAGAATCAGGTTAGAATGAGGAAGTGTACACAGTAGCGCCATGCAGAAGGGCAGGATTATTGTCACGTTTAACCACGTGAGATGATTGACAGCTCTATAGCGAATAAGAGAGCGCTGAGATCATAACTGACGCAAATCAGGAATAGGAGACACAGATCTCGCTGTGTTCGCTGTTTGAGCTTCAGATCGCATAATTTAGTGGAACATGAAAATCATTATTTCTCCAAATATGAGCACCATTGGACTAAGAGCCCTGGCGGATGCTGTATGTATGTGAACACAAATAAACCGGAGAAGACGTGAATGACTGCTTTATGAGTGATGATTTCTATTCAAAATAACGAACGTTACAGATGAATAATTTTGCACTCCTGTCATAAATTAAGAAATGAATGTCACTGGAAACCAGTTTTATCATAAACAGTGGTCAACTATCGAAGCTGGAGTTTTAAATCTTTCTAATGATGCTCAGTTTGTCTAGATCAAATAAGTAAGAGTGTGATGTTTTAATGAGTAATGAATGTTGAACAACAAAAATCTGGGGCCGTCTGTGATCTTTGCCACGAAAGGGGTTAAATTTGTGTTTTTGGTGATCCAGTTCGGTAGGTGGCTCTGTCACAGAAAACTAGGGTCCTGAACCTGCAGCCTCCGGTTGTGCAAGAAAACCCTTCTCCTAATGACTGGCATTTTGAGTAAGTCTTTGAATCATTTACACAACTGATTCATTTAAAACACTGATTCATTCAGGAACGAATAAAGTGACTGCCATTATGGGTGAGTCATTGAATCATTCGCTCAACTGATTAGTTTAAAACGCTGATTCATTCAGGAACGGCACTGCTTTGTGTGTAACTATGAGATGTGAAATATTCTGCTGCTGCTTTGTTTGGAAATATATATTTTTTTAAATAATGAGGCAAAATTAAGTTTCACGCTTGCTATTTTTTCGGAATATTATTGTATATTCAGTAAACAACACAATTGCTCCTGTGATACTGGTTAAATATATTATCATGTGTGTTATAGAAGGTCATGTAACTGGTTATAAGGACTATTTGTTACAGTTGTAGTAAATAACATGTTTGTCTCTTAACACTCTTCATTTCCTTCACTAAAAGTACTGTTAAGGTACTTTGATATATACTGAAGGATTATCATATTTACTTACTGGTTCTGGGCCTTGAGGTGTCTAGACAGGGTTTCTGGTATTGATCAGTCTTTGTATCTAGTCCTTACGGAAGGTGGTTGAGTTGAAGTACATCTCTGATTATGGTACTTTTGTCTCTCTCTTCAAAAGCATCAGTCGTGTAATTGCTGTACGAGTCTGTATAAAAGCCCAATTAAAAGAGCATCAAGTCTCTCACCCATAAACCACATTAACAATGGCTAATTAAACCTGCACTCTCTGATTCTGATTAACTTGCTGAAGTCATTTAATAGAGCAGCTCTTTCAGTCTCTCACCTTTGCGTTGCTGTTTTCATTGTTCTTTGCCTCTTGAATGAGCTCGTCACTCCATCATCATCTCTGTAAAGGTAAAACATTAATCGTGTGTGAACGTACAGTCCTAATGGGGTCTCGTCATTATCAGGGAAGCGTTTGAAAATCTTTTTTTATTTTCATGCCACTGCTTCACAGATGTATTAGTTGCCATGACAATTGCAGCTTCCCTCCAAAACTCTACAGTTGCTTTCTGATGAATTCATGAAACATGCAAATAAGGCAAACAGACACACACCAGCCCGGCGGATAATCATGTTACAGCTTTCAACAGTTCCTCTTCCTCTGTGGCTGATTATAAGACGTGGATTAAACAGCGGCAGAGGTTTAACCGCTTCTCATTGGCATATGAATCGTTCCTGAGACGGGCTGATGGAGGTGGAGGCGTTTGATACACTGTTGAGTAAATTAGCTACTTTAAAAGAGCTGCATATCTTGTTGCTTTGCCGTGTCTGGTTTCGGCTTTAAAAATTCAATGATCTTTGATTATAGCAATTAGATGATAAACGCATTTGATCAAGGTCTACTCCACATCACTTTATGTAAGTTATGTTTATGATGCAGTTATCTAACACAGAAGAGCATTTGTCTGTTTTTAATGAAAACAATTTACAAATGAGCAAGATGCTTCACATGCAGTGGTGTCGCATTATTTGGATTTTTTTTTTCTGGATTTAAGTGTTTTGAAATAAAATGTCAACTTAAATGAATGAAATTTTGGAATGAAACTATGCCCTCTACGGGATTCATAGTAATATGTTTGACTATGTAACATCATTTAGACATTATCTTTTTGCAGAAAGCCAAGAGGCAAGCCAAATATGAACAAATATCCATTTTTCAATAATCGTTAGTATACAACAGGGTTAGTAATTTAAGAACAAAATATAATGGAATAGAGTAGTATATTTATTAGATTCAAGAATACAAATGTATGTACACTAAATAACAAATATTACTGGATTTGTTATGATCCATTTATACTGTAAATAATAACGGTTTGTAAGGTGTCATTATTTACAGTTCAGTTGAATGACCCAGCTGCTGTTTGAGCTACTTTGCAGTGTGGGTACACAACAGTTTTTGATAACTTGTTTAATTTCAAAACACTTACTTGTTAACTTGGATTAACTTGGATCTTCGTCACTGTGTGCAGATCTCCTGGCGGTGCCGAAGCATCCGTATGCAGCCATGGAGAACTGGGGCCTGAGTGTGTTTGTGGAGCAGAAGATCTTGTTGGATCCTGACGTCTCCTCCTTCTCCTATCAGATGGAGCTCACCATGGTGGTGGTGCATGAGATCTGCCATCAGGTAAAACACACTTACTGTGGTTTCACATTGTTTTACGGTCAAAGTTAAACTTTACCTTGCTGGAAGAAGACAAAACAGATTTATATATGGGCTGATGGAGGTGGAGGTGTTTAAAACAGCTGATTCACTGTCTACTCTTTCACTGATACTATATCAGATGTGTTAATAATAAATCACAATGGACTAATTTAGTCCAATCATATCACCTGATCTGTCAGCGTCACTTTTCTGACATGATGTGTTGTTTATTTCATCATGACTGTTAAAGTCGGCACGAAGTTCCCTATTGTGACGTATTTCCGAGTAGAAAGACTTCTCGTACAAGAAAACATAGGTAAGCACATCATCAGAGAAGAGATGTCACTGCAAGAGGGAGTTATTTTGATTAAAGATTACATGGGCCCTTAAATTAAAAATAATAACAATGATGCGCACGGATACATCATTTATAATAAATACTGCACTATTCCATAAAATATAAGATATTTTGATTTCATGGTGACTTTTAAGTTCTGCATCTCTATGCAGTTTAATATTAAGTTTAATATTTGCTTAATTATAGGTAAGTTTAATTTACACAAATGTAGTTTCTCCAAGTTGTGTGGCATTATTTGTTTTTTTATCCTTAAATTAGCTGAAAGAAGGAATGCCTCAAAACTCTCTAAACTACTTGCAATGTATATTTGATTATATATATTTCATTGCTAGGCCTATCATTTATTTGTATGAATTGGATTTATTGTGCTTGTGTTTAACAATAATTTAATGTTTATTTATTAAATAGAGGTTTAATAAAGGTAGTTTGAGGCGTCTCATCAGCAACTGTTCCAGCAGGAATTCAGTTAATGAGATAACAATAATGGAAATTGATCGAAAACGAATTTCATTATGGATGGATTAACCGGGTCTGGTCGATGTGCACTGAAAACCTCAGCTCAGTTCATTTAATTGTAACGTTCTTTCTATGAAATGCACCTAAAAATAGCTCACAAAGTGAGCTGCTGCGGGAAAAGTTCCCGACCCAAGCTGCCCAAAACATGAGAATGATTAATATAAGCGCATAAACAAACTCGTAAACGCCTAACGTTAGCGTAGCTCGCTCGCCCTGTCAGGTGCTCTGGCAGAGATGTGTCATGTTTAATGCGTGAGACATGTTTTCCCCAACGCAGTGAGCGCATAACTTACATTTAATCTTTATATCCTTGTTTGTAAATGTTATAAATTCACATGAGTATTTCCATTTCACTTTGAGATTTGTCCTGACAGGAAGCGGATCCCCGTCAAAGAAACTTCGCAGACTTGACTAAACGAGCGCGAGCGTGCGCATGCGCATCGAACAGACAAGATAAATTATGCACTATAATTCTGATTAATTTATTAATTTTACTAAATATTTAGGTTTAAAATTCTACATGTACGGCAAGTAATTGTATTTTAATCAGGACATGTAACTGAAAAGGATTAGCATAATTGGATAGTGATGTCTCGCATTTAGGCTACAGAAAAAAAGAAAATAGCTAAATAAGGCGTTGATCTACTTGCAGAAGACAGAGAAAGAAAGGCAGAAAAACTCCAGGAGAAAAAAGTCAGAGAGTAACAGAGAGTGTGAAGATGGTCAGTTGTTGAGTTAAAGGGCAGAACAGCAGCAGATGTAATTGGACATCTGGAGAATTTGATTCACAGCTCATATAAAAAGAGCTTTACCCATCACCTCCATTGGGATTGTGAAAGTAAAGATTTCCTTTCTCCATCCCTCTTTCTTTCTGTTTTTTTTCTCTCTCTCTAGAGTGTTTCGCGCATGAACAAGTCTTTCTTGTGTTAAACAACCTTTTTTTTCGTGCCTTTGCATCATTGCAGACTATTAGATGCAGATTAAAAAAGCAGTCTGGGTTAAAAGAGATTTTTTTCTTTTGCCATTGAAATAATGTTCAGTAAGGGACTGTAAGCCCACAAATGCATCATCGGCATGAATTGTAAAGGAAACGTTGGAATTGTTCATTGCATGTGCTCATTTTTCACCAGCCTTTGTTTGCAGCTCTTATGTTGCTGAGAACCTTGGATTTGAGTGCCTTTTGTTATGGCGGATTATTGATGAGCGTGTTGGAGATGTTCTGCGTTCTCAGTATTGTCCTGGATTCATCTCTTGAATAGTCTTCCTCATATGCTGCTGAATCGCAGCTCTGCATTGTGGTCTCAAAGATGATACAGCATGTCTGCAGTTCTTTCCACTTTTCTTTTCGTTTGTTTTGTCTTTGTTGTTTTATTTTTAGGGAGAAGGAAATAAAAGAAAACAATCCCCTCATCTCTCATTTCTGCACAGATAATGCAGCTCTGTCTGAACTCAGTCTGAACCTGGTATAGTAAAACACTCTCACAGGGAGTTTGAAACCATGATATTATTTCAGAAACAGCAATAATGTGCATATTTGATTGTTTTAGAGCTGGAATTCATGAGAGTAACCCAGATCAGGCTGTTCTCTGCACATAAAGCCCTGTTTTATGATCAAGAATAATTGAAAAGAAGAAGCAGTGGAGGCTGGAACTATAGCTAATGTTGTCCATGATGTTTGCAGGTAGAAAACTGAAGTATGTCCAGTGTCTTGCAGTATGAATTCACATTTATCTATGCAACACGCTGTAAAGCTCTTTGTGCTTTTTTCTGTTTTAAGGTGGCGATTTCAAATGAATTTGTACGATGTTATTTGTATGGAAACGGATGATCCCGGACCCTAAATCTAACTGTCACTGGGCATAAGCAGATCAGATTTAACATTGAAAGTTCAAATTTAAGCTTTAAACGAGTATGCATTATGTAAGTAAGTGTGCACAGTAAGAGAAAGGAGGAGAGGCAGAGAGAGTAAAAGACAGAGATTAGCCGTCACGCGTATTGAATTCACCGCAGGCTGTTTCACCCTGTTGTGTCGCAGCTCTCTGGAGCTTCTGCTCATCTTTATGGTTTTAATTAAGATGCCATTTCTCTATTCAAACCTTTTCTCTGCTTCAGTCTCATGCCCATCATTTTCATATAGAGTTAAATAGCACACTGCTAATTATTTTCCACTGTAAATTACCTTGACTGAGCTCAGAGCGTCAGAGTGGGCGGAGCTTGTGCTTATCTGACATTGGCTCCTTTATTTTGAAAGTATTACATCAGTCCTCATCCAGCACATATTCTGCCATACATTATAAAGTCTGTCTGAGCAAGCAGCTTCTGATAAATCACATTTGTATCTCGTCGCTCTCGCGGACTGGCAGTAGAGAATTGATTAGTAGATGATAGACTTTGTTTTCTATTGTATAGGTTTATCCTGTGGACTCTCCTGGCCTCATTTTAATGTCATATACTGTAGCAGTGGATTGTTAATAGATTTGCCGCTGCCGGCGATGGGGTTTATATGTCACAGACGCTCAATCACTGTTAATTTCTTATCTCATTTCAGCCTCTCAGAATTAAATGAAGCTGCCACAGTCCTTCATATGCAGTTATTCAGCCAATAAAACAAGCCTAATAGAGGCCGATGCAGCTGATGTTGAGTTTTCTTATTTTCCCACAGATTGGAGAGGTGACATTCTGCCCTCTGGATATTAATATGTTTGGAGAGTGAGGCTTCAGTACTCATACGTCTTAACATGGTTGCTTTAAAAACACATTTAGACATTAAATATGAGTTACACATTAAATATGAGGGTAAATGGCTGTCAGTGGAGGTGAATCTGACTCATATCTGTTGGCTGGTGTATTATTCTCTGCTCATTTATAAAAGACAGCATCCGTAAACACATGAAATTGGAGATTTTTCATTCTCTCACTCTGAATTCTGACAAATAAATACATTTTGTCACTCAACACAGAGAGTTTCAAAATTCTCTTATTGTGATTTGGAGCAATTTCCAGTTCTAGTTCAGGTTTACTGAGATTCAAATATGAACAGAATAAACAGTGATTACTGCATCAGAAACTAATAAAGAGTCAATCGAATTGATAGATCAAGTAATATATGAATTGCTATTAATTAAATGTGTAAAAAAATAGAAAGCATTGAAATAGTTCACTTACAAGTACATTGATATTAGTGTAATTACTACATAAAGTATACTTGCAAAATATACATGGATTTTACTTAAATTTAATAAAACAATCTTGAAGTATACTTTCTATTTTGGACCCTGATACTTGTACAGTAGATGCAGGTTTGATTTTAGTATCTAACATTCAAACTTGTACTACAATACAGCTTCAGGACTTCTTTCTTGTGGTTTTCCAGTTGAGAAAGCAATGACCTTTGCCCTGCAGTCATAAACCTAATCCTGCAGACACATCTTGTCTGAACCTCCTTGTTAAATGTCAATGAAGGATATTTAAACTCAATTATTCAGGCTTTTACTGTACGACTGCCAGTTTGGCTGAAGGCTTCAGTATGATACTTCAGAGGGATTCTCGGCTGCTTTGGTGTGTTTCATGTCTTAAGGTTGTTTTTCTAATTATGCCGTTGAAGGTTTTCTCCTGCTTCAAATGTACAGTATATGCTGCAGTATAGAGGTACAGAGCGAACTCTTCCCTGCATGAATCCCGTCAGCGTACCGATTCATTTGCTCTGCATCTTCTGGCACACAATAAATGACGTGATGTGACTCACTGTCCTGGTTCATTGTCATTAGCAACAGAACATCTGACAAATTAGAAGAGTGCAGAAAAAGTCACTAGACCTTTGGGAAGCCACTTGTGTGACTAGTAGAGAGTTCCTGTGAGAGCAAGATAACAGCTGTTTCTCTCCACGCTGCGGCTCTTCTATCAGTCCATGTGTCTGAGTCACAGATGAACGGACGTCAGGCGCTTGGAGAGCCTTTGAGCTGCTGTAATGATGTCGATGTTCAGATGAAAAAGGCCTGACTTCTAGAGGTTTGTTTGCTGCAACAATGAGATCCGGCGTTCAGTAGCACATCTGCTTGAGCCTCAGAGCCTGTGGAAAATATCCAGCTCATTCACAACTGCAATGTTGCATCCTTTCCAGTCAGTAGCCCTGTTTTGCACACTGTCATCTGCACACAATGGCAGGGATCATATGAATACGTTCTACCTTCCAAATGGGACGTTTCATAATCGAATCCTTATTTTTCTCTCTTCTGTTCATTTACGGTGTCCTTGGCGGAGCGCCCAGGTATGAATGCTGTGAAACTGAAAATGTGTTTTAAATTGTGTAACTGTAGATAATTGATTGTTTAGGCCGCTATTAATCATAGTTCAAAAGCCATGCCGGGTTCTCAATGTTCTGTGAAGCCGTTTGAGAACAACTTTTCTGTTGGACCAGAGTGCAAATGTTTATTAAAAGTGTTTGTTTGTACTTCTACTTCTGAAGGAAGAGAGTTATTTTTCTGCTGTATTGGACTTTTCTAATAGATGAAATATGCTTTTGCTGATATTGGATGAATAGGAGAGTTTATATTTTCCTGATGCTTTGTCCAAATAAAGTTTGGTTTCAGTTTACCCATGAACACTTTTCTTGTACAAAACAAAAGTTTGTCATAATTGTTTGCAGGTGAACATGAAATCGATTTTTGTAATGGTCCCTGTGTTTCTCGGTTGATGATTGATAGTTCATTTCTTCTCTTCTAGTGGTTTGGCGATCTAGTCACGCCGGTTTGGTGGGAGGACGTTTGGCTGAAGGAGGGATTCGCTCATTACTTCGAGTACATCGGGACTGATTTCCTCTTTCCAAAGTGGAACATGGTGAGTTGCTGCTCAGATGTGAGAACTATAATTTCATTCAACGAATCATACATAACTTTGAATGGAAAAAAGATGTGATATGAAACAATATATTATACTGTACATACTTACAGAGAGAGTTTTGATGGTTTTAATGCTATTCAGATGTCTGAATCTCCTAAAATAAGTGCACATTTTTAATGCTTTTCACATACGCATGATCTTGAGCATTTCTTCTTGTGCCAAGATTCAGCTGAGCTAAAAACTAAAAAAATTTTTGCAGTGCATTTGAGTACTAGATACTTTGTTTGATCAATGTTTGATTGCCTGTTAAATGTTGATAACAGCCTCTCAAGACCAATCAATCTCACATTTTATGGACGTTTACTTCTTGTTTAAAACTACCAAGGCAGTCATTTTGACTGTTTTAAAATAAATACATTTATTGAATTAAAACCCATGTAACTATAGGACCCTGACTTATAAATGTGTCTATATTTTATTCTATCATTGTTATTTTATTAAAATTACAAGACACAATAGAGCTTTGAGTATTTCTACCTTGAATGGCCATAACAGTCATACTGACCGCATGCATTACAGACCGTGTATCATTTCCCGCTCTTGAAGATGCATCACCGTTGCCAAGCAACAATTTATTCTAGTTGTTAGTTTAGTCTATTGCAAAACTGAAATCTAGCTTTAGCTTCGAGCTAAAACAAAATTGAAAAGAGAATATCAGAACAATGTCAGCAAGAAGAATGACTGCCACAGAGGCTTCAGAGTGTGATGGAGGAGCAGGTTCCGATAGTGATGTCTCCTGGTCTCTTGAAAGTTCATCTGACACTGGCTCTGAGAGGGATTCAGAGATAATTCCCCTGTGTAAAAAAAGCCGGCTGGACACTTATAATTCTGCATCTGCTGTCATTCCATCTGCTAATGTTCCAGGTACGTTAGGCTGCCATATATAGGCTAATATTAGCCCTGATAAAATAGATATTTGATGAAATAAAACAAATTAATTAGGCTATAATTTCTTGGCGACAGTGCAAAATCCTGGATCATCAGCTGTGCGTGCTGTGCCAACCACAAGAGCACTCAGCCCGGCACTGGATGAAGCTGTCCCACTAAATCTAACTATAGCAGAGCGGCATGAAACAGCGAAAGACTGTGGACTGCTATACAGTCGGGTGAAAATAGAGGAAGGCGACAAAGTCAAAATGTCATGACAGCAGCTCCAGGCCCCACAGCGCACGCCAAGCGCAACATTGAAGATGCCCTCACCGCTTTTCTGTGTTTGGTTGATGATGGTATGTTGGAGCACATCAGGGACAGCACCGTGGCTGAGGCACACAGAGTCAAGGAGGACAGCTCATGGTATATGACAGTGGATGAACTAAAGGCCTTCATTGCTCTAGTCTACATTCGTGGGGCACAGGTCGGAGTTGATGTGCTAGATCAAATGGCGAGGAAATACTCAGTGAAAGCACCCACACGTAGACAGCCAGTGGCTGTGCTTTATAATATCCTTGACCTGGCTGCAATAAATGCTTCCCAGGTAGAAGGTGACGTTCCCACGACCATGGGTAACGTTTCCTAAAAGTTCTCTAAAGGTGACGAACATTCCGAACCTTTACAGAACATTAGGGACGTTCCTGAAACGTCCTCTTTTGGTAATGAAAGTGCTGCAGTTCAGTACGTTCCTTAAATTACTTTAGGGAGACGTTCCGTAATGGTAATCTTATGGTCACATAACAACGTTACAAAGAGGACGTAATCAAAACGTTCTCATATGGGTCTAAGTTGGTCCTATTATAACGTTCCTTAAATTACTTTAGGGAGACTTTCCGTAATGGTAATCTTATGGTCACATAACAACGTTACAAAGAGGATGTAATCAAAACGTTCTCATATGGGTCTAAGTTGGTCCTATTATAACGTTCCTTATAGGACTTTAGGGGGACGTTCCGTAATGGTAATCTTATGGTCACATAACAATGTTACAAAGAGGACGTAATCAAAACGTTCTCATATGGGTCTAAGTTGGTCATATTATAACGTTCCTTATAGGACTTTAGGGGGACGTTCCGTAATGGTAATCTTATGGTCACATAACAATGTTACAAAGAGGACGTAATCAAAACGTTCTCATATGGGTCTAAGTTGGTCATATTATAACGTTCCTTATAGGACTTTAGGGGGACGTTCTGTAATGGTAATCTTATGGTCACACAACAACGTTACAAAGAGGATGTAATCAAAACGTTCTCATATGGGTCTAAGTTGGTCATACAATGACGTTCTTTATGTGACTTTAGGGGAACGTTCCATATTGGTTATTTTATGGTCACATAGCACATTACAAAGAGGACATAATAAGGACGTGCCCATATGGTTCTCTGTTGACCATATGAGAACGTTTTGTGACTAACTTAATGAGAACATTCTCATATACATCATGTTTTGTGCGCGGTGACGTGGGACGAACCGAGGTTCAACTTCCGTCAACTTCTGTCACGTTTATCTGGTTTGTCTGCGGGCTGGACCCTTCTCGGACGGACACCTGACGGCGGTCTTTTTCCTGTTTTCTTCACCGACAGCGAGCCAGAAAAAGCCAATGTGATTATCATGTAAAGTTATTTTAATGAACCATTCTCGCGTAGATGATCAGGCTATATTGGCTTTTTTTTTTAGATAAACAAGCTAACGTAAGCGCTAGGCCTATTCCAATTTGCTTATTTTAACTCTTGTTTACATAGCCTGCAGGGTCTCCTCACGAAATCTAAGCGGCATAAAGTTCAATGCGAGGGTCTTTAGAATATGTTTGTATTATTTTTGTCTCTTTTCTTTTATTGTCATTTTTTCCTATTATTTGGTAAAGGCTACACCACTTTTCCATGGGAAAAAAGTTGTGGTGATCCCGCTATTTGGCTCGTTGATGTAAAACAGTCTTTTACAATTGTTATTATAAAATCAAGAATGCAGACGTTTTAAGCTCAGCAACAATGGCAGCAAAATGTACACAGTATATTAAAAAAAACTCCTGACACACACACAGAGCCTGCAAATCAGGTTGAAGCGGAGAAGCATCAGCTTCTTATTCTTTAAATATAACAGAAGACCTTAATAGGACAAAAAAATAATATTCTAAGTTGGTCCCTAAAAGTTCTGCAGGACGTTCTCAGAATGTTCTGGAAACATTGGATTTCTGAATTAAATATGGTCTTTAAAACGTTTCCAGAACGTCCTGAATGTTCCCTGAAGGTCCTCCAAATAACGTCCCCAAACCCTTTAAAGAACTCCACATCGTGACTGTCTGTGAACGTTGTAGGAACATTACTGTAACGATCAGCTGGAGTGCCCTCGAGAGCCACCAGAGGGCGCTCCACAATAGACTATGATCACTTCCTCACAAACTACATTTCCTATAACTCACTGCCCGGATTCATCAGCACTTATTTCATTCACCTGTGTCTTATCACCTTGTTTCTCTCACACCATAAATACCTGGTTTTCACATTCACTCGGTGCAAAGTATTGCTTTCCCAGTGAACTATTCTGAGCGTTTGTACCCTGTGTTTGTTTACCTGTTACGACTTTATCTGGACCTTACCTCTCGTTGTCTGCTGCCTGCCTTACTCTCTGCCTGGACTCTGTATTCTGATTGTTTCGCCGCCTGCCCCGACCCTTTGCCTGTTCTTGGACTCTGATTGTGTGTATTCTGCTCTGCTTATATCCCTGGTATTCGACCCTTGCCTGTCTGACCCTGTTATTTAATAAAGCCTGCAAATGGATCTCTCCTCGTCCGCTGCATCATTACAATTACCAAGCGACGTTCTTGACACCATCGGGACGTTCTCAGAATGTTTTGGAAACATTGGATTTCTAAATTAAATATTGTCCTCTAAACGTTTCCAGAACATCCTGAATGTTCCCCGAAAGTCCTCCAAATAACGTCCCCAAACCCTTTAAAGAACTCCACATTGTGACTGTCTGGGAACGTTGTGGGAACATTACCAAGCGACGTTCCTGACACCAGCGGGACGTTCTCAGAATGTTTTGGAAACATTGGATTTCTGAATTAAATATTGTCCTCTAAATGTTCCCAGAACATCCTGAATGTTCCCTGGAGGTCCTCCAAATAACGTCCCCAAACCCTTTAAAGAACTCCACATTGTGTCTGTCTGGGAACGTTGTGGGAACGTTACCAGGCGGCGTCCTTGACACCAGCGGGGACGTTCTCAGAATGTTCTGGGAACATTGGATTTCTGAATTAAATATTGTCCTCTAAACGTTTCCAGAACATCCTGAATGTTCCCCGAAAGTCCTCCAAATAACGTCCCCAAACCCTTTAAAGAACTCCACATTGTGTCTGTCTGGGAACGTTGTGGGAACATTACCAAGCGACGTTCCTGACACCAGCGGGACGTTCTCAGAATGTTTTGGAAACATTGGATTTCTGAATTAAATATTGTCCTCTAAATGTTCCCAGAACATCCTGAATGTTCCCTGGAGGTCCTCCAAATAACGTCCCCAAACCCTTTAAAGAACTCCACATTGTGTCTGTCTGGGAACGTTGTGGGAACGTTTCCAGGCGGCGTCCTTGACACCATCGGGGACGTTCTCAGAATGTTCTGGGAACATTGGATTTCTGAATTAAATATTGTCCTCTAAACGTTCCCAGAACATCCCGAATGTTCCCTGAAGGTCCTCCAAATAACGTCCCCAAACCCTTTAAAGAACTCCACATCGTGTCTGTCTGGGAACGTTGTGGGAACGTTACCAGGCGACATCCTTGACACCAGCGGGGACGTTCTCAGAATGTTCTGGGAACATTGGATTTCTGAATTAAATATTGTCCTCCAAACGTTCCCAGAACATCCTGAATGTTCCCTGAAGGTCCTCCAAATAACGTCCCCAAACCCTTTAAAGAACTCCACATCGTGTCTGTCTGGGAACGTTGTGGGAACGTTACCAAGCGACGTTCCTGACACCAGCGGGACGTTCTCAGAATGTTCTGG